CCCGTCCCACCAAACATGCTCGCCCTTTCAGCCGTGGGAGCGTTATAATGTGACGGTCAATCCCACTATTCGTTGATAGCTCAAGAGTTGGAGGTGGGTGGTGATGGCTAGTTGTTTTGTGGAAGGTAATAACTGATTCACTAAGCTAATCAAGTACTTTTGTCTCTAAATTCAAAACCAAAATTATATTTTAAAAAATGGAAAGGTGCCCTCTTTCAGGATGTTTTTTATCCCCTTCTCGGACAAAAAATTCTAAAACAAAATAGCTTGTGTACATAAATGGATAATTTCTTGTTACCTTTTCAAAAATTACGGTGATTGAGCCAACTCTGGGTAATACAATTAAAAAGGTCTATAAACAAGTGGAAATGTGAACTATTTCAGGGTGTTTTTATTCCCTTTCTCAGGTAGAAACCGTAAAATAAAGTAGCCCCTTCCCACCAGCTGACAGTTTCCAGTCACAACACAAAAAGTACGGTAGTCGAGCCAGCTAACTCTGGGTGACAGATGCTAATAATACACACGTATACACTCGTAATGGATTATTTTTATAACGAGACGTTTTCATTTCTTATTGGTGACAATAGGAAGATCTAGAGAGGTACATTAGTTATAAATACAAGTAAACAGTTAGTAGCGAACCATTCAATTTTTCAATTGGTAGAGTGCCAGTCATTTGCCAATATTTGGATCAGTGTTAGTTATCGTGTAAATACAGTTACTCGATCTATTATCCTTGAACTTGTAAGGGTTTATTTAATTGTACATGAGTCATAAAACCATTTGGTGAGTAAAGTTTTACTGAATTTCAAAGTGAAAATGTTATATATAAACTTAGGCCTACAAGTACAACTATGTACAAGCGATAGTAACTTGAAGGTTAAAGAATAGATAAAATAATTTCTTATCTTTACATGGACTGGACTTGGCCTTATTTTCACTAACCAATTTAAAAGAACCAGCCTAACAAGGAAGAACGTTACTATAACAGTAAATCGGGTACTTCGTTGTTAACAATAGTTTCATGTGTAAAACCATCAATATTTCACGAGGTTCAGACAGCTTAGAAAATTTAAGTTAGACTCAAATCTAGTCACTAAGCCAATAATCCAAAATATTCTGCATAAGTGTAATTATTATTAAAAGTATAACCGGTGAATATTTATAAGTTAATGAAAATAGCTATGAACGACGAATTAGAGCTTCGCTTGGTTTGCTTAAAGTTGTACAAGATAAAAAAAAACGTAATAACAAAATAAGTTGATGAAAAACCCATAGTTAGCTGTCGAGGTTTGTGCTGTGGATAAAGTCTTGAAAAGTACCTAGGGGTTTGGGCAGTTGCTTCCACTGTTTCGAGCCATAGCACACAAATATTGTCCTTCTAGGTATTAAAGTCGTGTTGAAATATAAAACAGACGGAAAGATTTAAAAAAACACACTGCAATGTCGCTTTGAATACTTTTAAACTCTACGACGTCCAACTTCATTTAATACAGCAACCATTACACAGAGAACGTTATAACAGAGCAATTTTGGAGTATCTCCACATCGTTATAGCCCATGTTACAATTATGCTCTGTCTGACGACTGTACATCTTGACAATAGTCCTACAGCATAGTTTCTATTGTAAAAAGTTCTGTCGTAAATGGCATGCTTAAAGCACACCGCCCTCTGTTTTAGCTTTCCATAGTTTATCTATGTTGCGTACTGTTGCCTGGGCACGTGAATTACTCGTGTTACTGACTTTTGCATTTGTAAATTCTCACCCGTTACCAGACGCCATACTTTTTTGTTTACTACAGCTAGGTACGACTTGCTGCAGGTCTATTTCAAAATGGCCCTGGTTCCCCAAATTGATCCGTAGTCCTTTTATTATTATTTTTTTTCAAATGTCATTAAGTACAGGAATATGCCGTGTTGGAAAATCTAAATCTCCTGTTTGAACACATCATTATAATCTGAGTGTATGGATATTTTATGTTACATACCGTTCCTGAAAGCGATCAGGTTTCGGTGGCATCACACTACCTACATATAAAACATCAAGCAATGCTAAAATTTTGTTGAATTTAGCGCAAAGCTACTCAAGGGATGTCCATGCTAGCCATCCCTAATTTTAAAGTTGTCGAGTAAAAAGAAGGCAGTTATTCAACATCACCCACCGCTAACTCGTGGACTACTCTAATCAAATAGGATTTGACAATCACTCTTATAACGCATCCACTGTTCCAAAGTGCGTAGCGTTAGTGTTTTTGCATAACGGAACATGAACTACGGACACTCGGATCCACAGTCCAGCACGTTAACTATTGGACCGCATTCGAACATGCTATTCTTCTGTGCCTTTGCTAATAAATAAAGTTCTTCATTTTACATTTATAGACAAATAATTATATAATTTCTAAAAAAGAAATTTCTTACTCTGACTTTAACTTTCTAATTACTGTTTTAATTATCTTCCTATTTCTGCTTTTATCCCGTTTGGCGAATTCTTGAACGTGCTTTGTATTTAGTTCACCGACTTTTATTTTAGTATAATCTTAATGCTTTATCCTTTACTTTTAAAACTATCATACTGTCTACGTATAGTTAATTGCAAGCTGCTATTGAATGTTCTTAATGCAGTGAATTGTTTGTTATAAGAAATGTATTACACAAGTGTTATCTCGTTTAAAATAGTAAAGTTTGTTAGGTTAAAAAACAAGAAATTCAATATACTTTTGGAAAGATTTTATTACAGCAGCTTTGAAGATTCAATTTAAAGCTGAGATACATTTATTTATGACATAAGACAATATATATATATATATATATATATGTGTGTGTGTGTATGTGTGTGTGTGTGTAGTAAGGTTTGTATATATATATATATATATA